TACCAGTGATAAGGGTATACAGTTTGCCATTATACAGACTTGGGTTCAAACATGGTTCTACCACTTAGTGGCCTTTGGGCAAGTTTCTCAAACTCTGAGATCCTCAGGTTACTTGTCTCCAAAGCTAGAATAATAATACTTACCCACAAGGCTATTGTGAGATTACATATAATAAGCTCTCAAAAATACTAGGTCTTTTTCTCTATAAAATAAAAAGTATCCCTAAAACGTGTTAAGATTATGTCTTTTTTTTTCTTGACCATCTTCACCCACTTTGCCCAACCCTCCCCCTCTCCCCACTGCAACCTCCAGTCTGTTCTCTGTATCCGTGAGTTTTAAGTGTTTTTTTTTTTTAATTTTAGCTTCTACATTTGTGTGAGATCATACACTATTTGTCTTTTTCTAACTTATTTGCCTTCAAGGTCCACACATCATGTTGTAGAAAATGTCAGGATTTCCTTCTTTTTTATGGCTGAATGATATTCCATTATATATATATATATATATCACATCACATATATACCACATTATATATATAGGACACCATTACATACGCACACACACACACACACACACACTCTGCATTTTCTTGATGGTTCATTCCTCAGTGGACAATTAGGTTATTTCTATGTCTTGGCTATTGTAAATAATGCTTCAATGAACACAGGGTGCAGATGTCTTTTCAAGATAGTGATTTTGGTTTTTTCGGACAAATACCTAGAAATAGAATTCCTGGCTTGTATGGTAGTTCTATTTTTAATTTTTTTGAGGAAGCTCCATATTGTTTTCCAGAGTGACTGCACCAATTTACTTTTCCACCAAGAGTGCACAGCAAACACAACAATGCTCCTTTTTTCCACATCCTTGCCAACACTTACTATTTTTATCTTTTTGACAATAGGCACTCTAAGACATGTGAGGTGATATCTCATTGTGGTTTTGATTTGCGTTTCCCTGATGATGAGTGATGTTGAGCACCTTTTTATATACCTGTTGGACATTTGTATGTTTTCCTTGGAAAATTATCTAACCAGATCCTTTGCCCATTTTTAAATCAGATTGTTTGCTGTTGGGTTTTTTTTTTTTCTGTTGAGTTGTATGAGCTCTTTATATATTTTGGATATTAACTTCTTATCAGATATATGATTTGCATATATTTTCTCCCATTCCATAGGTTGCCTTTTCATTCTGTTGGTGGTTTCCTTAAATGTTCCTATGAATTGCAAGTAGTTCTAGTTTGTATCTGCTACGATTGTTTTCCAGATGCAGGAATAGCTTCCAAATAATGATACTTCTTTAAATGGAATGATGTTAATTTATCTAGCTCCCTGCTACTGTATTGTATAGCTTGGGAAAATGTGCTATTTTTGCAGTCTCTTCGTTCAAGTGGTTTATGAATTAAAGCAGAGGCCTATCATGTTCTAAGATCCCTTAGTTCATGATTGCAAAATAAAGTATCCATTTATTAGGCAAGGATTGTCTACAGTGTCTGCGAGGGTAAACAGACCCACTCATAAGAGTAAGTGTTGCCTTCAAATTTGTACTGAAGTATGCTGAAAAACATGTATACTATAGCTGTGATAATGAGCAGTACAGTAGAGAGAGGTGATTTATGATACCTGTTTCTGACAGCTATAGTGCTGAGATTCCCAGGGTATCTGATCATGGCATTAGCATGCTGACAGCTCAGCATTTAGAACATTATGGTAATTTATCCTGCCTATGCTGTCACCTGCACTGTCAGAGTTTCTTTTTAATGATGGTATAACTATTTTGTTTGTTTGTACTGCATTCTTTTCATTTGGCTAATGCTTTCTCATTAGATTGAACCCAGTAAATGAGAGTAATTAAGTGCTTCCTATAGCTCAGATGCAATGATTAAGTTGCAGAGCTGCTACTGATTATGTTTTGTCATTTATCTCTATTAATCTGAGAATAATCCAGATGATAAACACATGTAATTTTTTGCTAATGTTCAATAGATGAAATTTATAGTTCCTCAATGGAGCCAAGCAGTAAATGTATATTCATATATATATAGTAAGTTGTTATATGTGAACTTGTATGCTTTAAATAAGCATACAAGTGACAGCTAGTGTTAATAAAAAGGGAAAGATACTTTTAATTGTCATACTGAATTTATTCCTTCTTGAAACGTCCTTTATTCTAAAAAAAGAAAAAAGGCTTAAATCCCTGTTACGGAGCAAGTTTCTCTCACTTTACCTTTCTTTGAGTCATATGCAGGGGCAAGATTAAAATTTGTTTTAATATCCATATTTGAAGTTCTTTTGATCACTCTATTCTGATAGTTTTTCTGATTTTCTAAATTAGTAATTTATAATGATTCTAGAAGAAAATGTTTGAACTAAATTGTTCATTAAATAACTCATGGGATTAATTTTAGAGCTTTTGCCTTTTAATAACCTGAGTTAAAACATGGACATAATAATGTGGATATATATATATATGTAGAAAGATAATGTACAGTTACATATATATTTTCTTTCTATCTGACAGTATTTGCTAATAAAGAGATACACAGTTCTCATAACTCTGATTATTGTGAATATTATAGTTAATTATTCCTGCCAGCTTTCTTAAGTTAGCCAAACCAATTGATGCATTTTATTTGCAATTAGAGATAATATATGCCAGTTTCGTGCATTTTAATGCAATTGTTTTGTAAAGATTTATTCCTAACTCTTTACAGTTTATTTAGAAAATAATAGTTCCAATGAACTTTCAAACGGATGAAGGAAAATAGAGGATTGTTTTTAGGAAATTATATTTTGTGATACTATTTTAATAAATGCTTCAAACAATGGTATTATTGCTCAGTCTGTGAATATCTGTGTACGTAGGCTACTCCAAATCTTCAGTTCATATACAGATGGCAGGAAAATTAACAGAAACTTAGTTACTGCATTACTAGTTGGCGCTTAAGTGTATGACCAGGAGCCTGGTTAGTGTGATTCATCAAACACTGGAATAAGCACATTAACAGTTCTTTTGTTGAAAAAGAGCATTGTTGTACTCGAGCTTGCTTCCGTGCATTGCAGTGCTTTGAGAACTGCTCTTATGTTTCATTTAAGAAAAAGGTCTTTTAAGCATCCTCACATGTAATGCCTTTATTTGCACATTTAGATCACTTGCAGAATTTTGTTCTGTGAGCAGATGGTATCACCTAAAATTAAATGCTGGAAACAATGATGTTAGGCCTACTTCAGTTGGTTAATTTTAATGAAATATTTTTTGAAAGTGAAAACATTGCATAAATCTTAAATGGAGTTTGATATTAATGATCATTCATTTTTCTTTGGATTCCTTTCTAAAAGAATAAATGATTTTTAAAGGGTGGGTTTAGGCTACACAGAGAACTCTTCCTCTTGTTTAGGTGTACAAATGTCTTCCATGCAGGCTAATTGGAAATTGAGGCTATCATAAATATTGGAGGTTTATTAAGTTCTCTGGTGTTCTATTCAAATTGTTTTTGCTACAGTTTTAGAAGATTTAATATTTGGCCTAATTTATCACCTTTCTTAGGGATCAGCTTTTCAGTCCTGTACTTTAGGCTAGAGTGAAGAAATAGATTGTTGAGATGATTAGATTATATATGAAGTGATGGTTTGTTAACGGTAGTATAATAGAAGAATCTGTATTTTTGAAATTGTGGAAAATGTCTCTGATAGGCAATTGTCAGTTAAGGAATGGACCAAAAGCATTTGAAAGCCCTAAGTTCTAACTCAGACCTTCTTCCCTAGTAGTTATTTCATGAGATAAGCTTTCTCTTTCTTCTGCACACTAAGATAATAGAATGAGTGATGGTGAGTATTAGGCCAATTTAATGCTCTTTTAATGTTAAATTCTAAAATAGGAAGCCCAAAATAGTCATGGCAGTTTTCCGATCATTTTGTACTGTTTAAAAAAAAAAACAAAGAAAGAACTGGATAATATTTTAGGATGGAATGTTTACTAATCTAGAAGATATTTCTTTTCCAGTAAAAGATGGGAACGATGGTTTTGGTGCAAGAATCTTTTCAATCTCAAGTATTTGCTATTTCTGTATTCCTGCATAGTTGATTCCAAATGTCCTTTCTTTCTTGAGATTCTGATTTCAAAACCAATTTTTAATTATCCCCACCTCCACCCCTTGTCCTAACAACAAAGAAACAAGTCTATTTGAGTTGTTAATGTTGAAATACAAGTTGTAACTGTTCCTTTGTCCTTGGTTAAAAAATAATTATAAAAATAGGGTAAAGAGAAAAATTTTTTTCCTTTGTTGGTCAGTTCTATAGAAGTAATTTAAAATACCGTATATTGAATTCTTTGATCATTTCTCCTGGGTGGATTGGGAAAGAAGTCAAAGCTGAGGCAATTGCTTCTGGGCTCTCTTTCTGTGTGCCTGGTAAATGAAACACAAGGAACCTCACCAAACTACATGACTAATGGCAACCTCCAGTGCCGCCTGCAATCAAAGATTAATTTGCTTTATCAAGTTTAAAGAATACCGGGTGATAAATCATGTCAAAAAGAAATAATCAGTCAAAGGCTGATGTTCTTTTCTACATGTGAGGACAGGTGCTATGAGGCATGCATTTGCTATATACAGTTAATTTTGTTTTTATGCACTTTTGTTCATCTTAATTTCCATTTAGTTGATCCTTGGATCAAATAATTTCTCTCATTAAGATCAACTAACATTTCAACTGAAAGACTGTAGGATTATAGATCCAAAGTAACATTCTTTCTCTTTAATTTATAGAAGTATTTTTCTCATATGAGCATTATTAATAAATGTTTACTTTTTCCAAACATGAGTTAGCTAATGCCAAATGGGAAATGAAATTATTTTCTCCCCTGTCAAGATGCCCAAGAATATTAACTGGGTGTTCATATTTGTAATAGCTGTCTGTGTATAATAGACTTACATATTTATATAAAATTTTCATTTTACTCAAATCTCCCCACCTGTTTTTTTTTTTCTTTTTTCTTTTTTAAAGAGAGAGAGCGAGAGCTGGAGTCTCTCTCTAATTCTGTCCCCTGGGGCCATAATGCAGGATCCATTTGAGGTAAGATTGTATTATACAGAGGTGGTCTTCCCAGCACTTTCAGAAGACGCATCTTGAACAGTATCCAAAACCAATCTTGTATTTTTTCAGAGACTGTCAGAACTCTTTTAAAGTGAGGCTCAGAATGTCTTTGTAGCAGAGTTTTTAATCTATAGTCATAGTCATGTGCAAATGGAGTTTCTTTAAATGTTTTCTTATGTATAGTTATGTATTACTTCCTGCCTAGGTCTTTTCTAGGTCACTCCCCTTCCGTGGTTAATTAGAAATTTGGAAATTATTAATTTTCCATTTGATGTATAAACTTAAATAAAAAGTCATCATAGACTTGAAATGTGGAGCTGCGAAGTTGTCTAGCTGGAGCAGTTGCGGTAAATCTTCTCCCTAGGGTAACTCTTTGTTTTCTTTTGCTTCACCATTTCTCCTGGTCTTTCTGTCCAGATAGATTTTGACCCTTGTTCGCTCCAGTAAATTGTTAGCAGTGCAGGAGGGCTTATGGCTGGCTTTTGTTTTCCTTTTTTAATGTTTCTAATTCCTATGAATTATTTAAAAATATCTGTAAAGTTCCATTATTGGCATCACTAGCATCCTAAAGAGAAAATACCTTGTCAGCTTACCTGGGTTTTCAAAGACTTCCTTTTAAACTGAGTAGGAATTTAACTTGCCTGTACTTCTATTTTTTACAAAGTATCTATCATGATCTATTTCGTATCTAAAATGGGATGATAGGACAAACTGATAAGAATCCTTCCAATCTGAAAGAATTTTGTAACATAAGCCATACCTATTTTGACATTAACTGAGTCAACCAGTGATCCAGTGATCCAGTGGTCATTAATAATTTGTGTAATAGCAGTCTATCCTAGTGAATTGCTGTACTTTAAACTGCATAGTGGAATAAAAATAGGTTTAGATATGAAGACTGAACACTTCTATCCAAAGACTAACTCCAACATTTGTATAAAACCTGATAATTGCATTTGCTTTAGAGGTGCTGTTAAGAGTATGATCCCATCATATTTCTTAGTGGTCCCTATAGGAAGCCACAGGAGAGAAATTCCTTTTAAAATTTAGTACTAGGAGGGGCGCCTGGATGGCCCAGTCAGTTGAGTGTCTGCCTTAGGCTCAGGTCATGATCCCTGGGTCCTGGGATCGAGCCCCCACGGCGGGCTCCCTGCTCAGCAGGGCATCTGCTTCTCCCTCTCCCTCCCCCTGCTGTGCTTTCTTGCTCTCTCTCTCTCAAATAAATAAAAATCTAAAAAAAAAAAATTTTAATACCAGGATATGCTTCCCTTTGCTTAAGAAATGCGTATATATTCCTCTTATAGATAGCAAAGACTGTAAAATAATCTTTTCTTTTTCATTTTGGACATCTGAAAATGTGGCACCAACTTATGGCCTAACTCTTCCATTGCATGAAACCTTAGAATCTGCTTTTACAAATTTTGATAGCTCTCCCCCTCCCCTTTTTATCTATACCCTGTATTCAACTTAATATTATACCTGATCCTCATGATCCATTTTAATCCTTCTTTTACTTTTTACACGTCTAGGAAATCTAGACATGTAAAAGATTTCCTATATGTCACTCCAAAACTCAATATAAGGAGTCACTGTGTAAATAGGTAAAATTGCCCTGACTCTCACTAAATATCCAAAGAAGTCCTTTCTTTCCTTTTAGAGTTTAGGTATTCTCATTTGTAAAATAAAGTAGTGAACTGGATTGCCTTGGAGACCTTTTTGATTCAAATTCTATTTTTTTTATTTTATTATGTTAATCACCATACATTACATCATCAGTTCTTGATGTACTGTTCCGTGATTCATTGTTTGCGTGTAACACCCAGTGCTCCATTCAGTACGTGCCCTCTTTAATACCCATCACCAGGCTAACCCATTCCCCCACCCCCCTCCCGTCTAGAACCCTCAGTTTGTTTCTCAGAGTCCATAGTCTCTCATGGTTCGTCTCCCCCTCCGATTTCCCCCCCTTCATTTCTCCCTTCAAATTCTAGGAGTGAAAACAACAGAAGACCTCCAGTTTCTGTTTGGAGCTATAGAAAGCTTGAAGGAGCTATACTCCCATCCTTAAAACAACAAAAAAGCTGGACAAACTGCAAGTTTATGACTCCTTGAGCCTGTCAGAAAGCTAAGGTTGTAAAGTAACCATATAATCTAAAATCCAGGAAGAGAGAGGTGCCTGCTAGGAGAGGAGCACAAGCACTTTTTTACCTGTCGCAAACACAGCCAACACCATTCAGGTGATGGGGCTGGAGTGGTTGAACTGATGGAGACTGAGTATGGGCTGCCAAGAGAAAGTGGAGCCCCTGATGGCCTTAGATACATGAGGACTTTGTACCTCCTTGCAGACTGTTCTCCACATACCCCACTACTGTCCCTTCTGCCCCAAAAAGGTACTGGCAAGAGTCCTGAGAAAGCATCCTTCAAGGTTCAGGCTAGCATGAAGGGAACAACAGTGGGAGAGACACAAAACTCCCCCTGAACCCTTCTGCCATGTCTCTTCTGGAAAAAAAAAGAAAAAAAGTACTAATTTACATATTTAAAAGAGCAACCAATGAAAACCTATTGCAGCCCCAGTTGGGGAGCAGGGACAGGAATTTATAGTGTGCCCAGAACAGCAGCTACTGGCGTGGCTGGAGTCCTGAGAAGGCCATACACTCAAGACCCAAAGACACAGTGCCTGCTTAATTCTGAGACCTAATCAAAATGACAGAGAACACGCTCCCTCATTTCCATCACCAGACTAACCAATGTCAAGTAACAAGTAATAATGTAATAGTGGAATACTGCTGGAGAGTTGCAAGAGCATTAAGACAGATCCTGTCTGAGGCACAGCACAAAGGGAAGACCTCATGCTAAAGGTAGAACAGACATTGAGACAATTCCTCTTGAGAATCAGCCCCCACTCTAAATAATAGATATCGCTAGAATAATTTGAAGCCTATGATATACTGTGGGCAACCATACAACAAAAAATCTCAGACTCAACCCAATTCCTAACCATTAAATTAAACCCCCACATGAAGGGCCTAGCAGAAAGTCATACCCATTTACAAGAGCAAAATCCAGAAAAAGTCTGACTTTCAACAAAGTTTACAAGGAGAAAAAAAAAGCAGCCATCTGCCAAGAGATGAACAAAACCAAACTCAGCTATGATGCAGATGTTAGAAGTGTATGACAGGAAATTGACAGGAAATTTAAGATAACTATGATTAATACACTAAAGATTCTAATGGTAAAAGTGGACAACATGCAAAATCAGATGGGTATTTTCCGCAGAATTGAAAATAATAAGAAAAAATTAAATAGAAATGCTAAAAATGGAAAACTCTTTAACAGACAAGAAGAATGTTTTTGAAGGCCTTCATACACTTGACACATAAGACAAAAGAATCCCTGACCTCCAAGGTAAGTCAAGAAAGAGTAACCAAACCGAAACACAAATAGAAAAAGAATGAAAAAATTAAAAGAACAGGCCATCCAAAAGCTATGGGACAGTATAACATATGCATAAGGCTAGGAAAACTTCAATAACATTATCAACCAACTTGACCTACCTGACATTTATAGAACACTTCATCTAACAACAGTAAAATACACATTCTTTTCTCATGCACATGATATATTCACCAAGATAGACCATATTTTGGGCCATAAAACAAATGTTAGCAAATTTAAAAGAATAGAAATCCAATGAAGTAAGTTTCAGATCATAAAAAAATTAAACTTGAAATCAGTAGCAGAAAGCTATCTGGAAAATAACCAAATGCTTGGTCATGAAACAACCACTTCTAAGTAGTCCATGGGCCAAAGAAGAAGTCTCAATATATAAAAAAATATTTTGAGCTGAATGCAAATGAAAATATAATCTAAAATATCATGATTTGTGGGATACTGCTTAAAAATGCTTAGAGTGAAATTTATAGCATTAAATAATCAGATTAGAAAAAGAAGAAAGGGCTCAAATCAGTATCTAGAATAGGGGTTGACATTTTTCCAGATAGTAAATATTTTAGGCTTTGCAGGCCATATATGGTCTCTGACATATGTTGCTCCTTTCTGTTTTTGTTTTGTTTCTACAACTTTTTAAAAATGTGAAAACCATTCTTAGTTTAAGGGTCATAGAAAAAGATCATGGGCCACATTTGGTCTATGGACCATGGATTGCCTACCCCTGACTTAAAAAATAAAGAGCAAATTAAGTTCAAAGCAAGACTAAGGGAGGAAATAAAAAGATAAGAGCACAAATCAATGACATTGAAAACAGAAAAACAATAGAGAAAATCATTGAAATCAAAAGCTAGTTGAAAAGATAAATAAAATCAATAAATATCTAGCTTAACAGGCCAAGAAAAAAAGAAACACAAATTGACATCAAGAATGAAAGTATGGATATCAGTACAAATCCCACAGACATTTTAGGAATAATAAAGTAATAAAATTTGACAACTTGGATTAAGTGGACCATTTCTGTGAAAGACCTAAACTACCAAAATTTATTCAAGGAGAAATAGATAACCAGAACAGCCCTCTATCTATTAAAGAAACTGAATTCATAGTTTAAAACCCTCCAATAAAGAAAACTCTATTTCCAGATTGTTTCACTGGAGAATTTACCAAACATGTAAAGAAGAAATAATCCTAATTCTACATAGTCTTTTCCAGAAAATAAGAGAAGGAAACATATCCCAACTCATTTTATGAGGTCATCATTATCCCCAATTCCAAAATTGGACAAAGACATTACCAAAAAAAATTAAAGATCAATATACTTTATGATCATAGACTCAGAAATTCTCAACAAAATATGTATAAATCAAATCCAACAATATCTAAAAAGGATAATACAGCACAATGACATGGAATCATCCCCGCCTGGCTGGTTCAGCATTTAAAAATCAGTCACTGTAACTTCACCTTATTATCAAGCTAAAAAAGAAAAACCATATGATCGTTTCAAGAGATACAGAGAAAGTTTTTAGCAC